TCAAGTAGGGACCTGTTTCCATTGTTGATCATCCCTCAATACTGTTAATTCTGCCCCCTCTGCCCTATGACAAGAGGGTACTGGATTTACAGACTGAATTGGGGGGTTCTCAGAGTGGCTTTCCTGGGAAGACTGCAGAACGCAGCTCCACGAGTCTATTTCTTTTTCACATTCCCTGATGGCCCTCAGCCTTTCTACCTCTTCCTTTAGCTCCACCATCAGACTGAGCAGGTCGTCCACCTGCTCACACTAAGGCAGGCTGTGTTTTCGCTACTCCCCGGTAATATGGAGAGGCTCAGGCATTCCCCACAGCTAGAAACCTGCATGTTTCTGTGGTGGTTCAGTCTGTGCCGCCACAGTCTTCCTGGTGGAAGCTCTCTGCCGAGTGGAGACCATGGCTTCGCGTGATTTCCCGCTGCTGGAAGAGTCTGCGGAGAGAATTCTTTTCCATACCTGGGAGGAGACTCCCTGACTCCCACACCACACCCTGTCTGACCCTCTTTCCTTCTCATATATGCTTCCTTCCAGCTTTTGGGCTTTGCTAGGAGCTCCCTGTTCATTCATGCAGGACTCTTTCCACTCTTGCTTGAGTTCCTGCTAGTAGAGATGGACAGCTTTGAGGATGTGATCCTTGAAAATCAACCACCCCTTCTTTTTCACTCCAGGACTTTATCCCATGGGTTCCTTCCAAGTAGGGCCCAGAAGAGGCCAGAGTATTCTCTCCTGAGGTTAAGGGCATGTCTGCTACCTCCCTGCAGGCTTCTCTACCATCTCATGGTCCAAGGCTGCCAATGACCTTGACATCTCAGACTGGTTCTTCCACGTTTCTAAGCACCAAATCCAGCAGATCTCCCTTCAATAGCTCCTTGCTGTCATCAGTGCATTCCAAAAACTTCCTGAATTGCTTGTGCCTTGCTGTGTTGTCCCTCCACCAGATGCCAGGGTGGTTAAAATCACCCTGGCTCAGCTTCAGCAGGCTCAGATGCTCCATGGGACACAGCTCCCAGCCCCTCAGCTGCAACCAGGACACTGCATCTAGTCTGTAGGTGCAGATCAACAAGTGAAGCAGGAGCCATCCTCCTTGTGTCAGCATTCACAAGGCTCCAGTCTTCACTGTCTTAGGAATCTCCATTTCCTGCCTGTCTCTTTTGGTATGTTTTGGGGTTTAGGCTAGGTGTGCAACACTTGGTGTGGGTCAAGGCCTCCCATGCTTCAGTTGATGATGGCGACGTGCAGCACATCACTGCCACTGCAGAATCTGGACTTGACATGAAGACAGTCACACCACCTCGCTTAGAGCTGGTAGTGTCCCATAAGTGATTCTTTTTTCCTTCATATTGACTTTTATACTGTGGTGGATGCCTTCAGATATTTGATACTTATGGTTTAAAAGTGAAAGTGCTTTTCCCTCAACAAATTCAGAAGAGCAAAAATCAGTTTATTGTCTCAAGCAATAATGCAGTTTCCCTTGCATTCTGTCTTTACCTAGGAAAATAAGCATTTATGAGCTTGTAGTGGTAACATTTATTTATGGAGATTTCATATGGTAAGTACTGAAATGGTTCTAAATTCCTGGCATTATCACAGGGCCTGAGGGAACAACTGCCAGACTCCGATCATCACAGCAGTGGGTCTGGGTGGAAGAGATCTGGATACAAAAATATTAGTGGCAAACACCTTTGTCTAGCAAAATTTCTTTGCTCTTGGGAAATCTCTCTCTTTTTCTAGAGCCAAAAATGATGAAGTTCAGTTGTGCTTCTAAGTAATAGTATTGAAGGGGATGTTTTCCCATCTCATATTGTCATTAAGCTATAAACTTTCAGCAAACTCTATCCCCAATCTGTGGAAAAAAGTAGACCCTTTTTCAGCCTAAGCAAGGCACGGAGAAAAAGGAAACATTAGATGAAATCTGGGAAACATATTAAGCTATTTAACTCCAAGAAGTATTAGAGTGAGAATTATTGAACCCAAGACACTTGTCTATCACTGTTTATCAGCAGAGGGCTGAACAAAATATTATCATCAGGGTCATGCTCTTTGCAGTATTTGCATGTGTGTTTCTGCTCCAGGATGGCAAAAGACTTGAGTTTTACAGCTGCACTAAGAGAAAGAGTGAAGGGGAGTCAGGGGGAGAGAGGAAGAACCAGCTGCACTTGCCAGGGGGCATTTGGCCTTTTTCTGCTTTGTGTGAGTGGTGCAACTAGAATCTGCAGTGTTTCATCAAACAAATGGCTCCCAGCAAGTAGCAGTTTAACTTGATTAGCCCAAGATGAATGTCACAAGTCTGACAGATCACAGAGCATTATAGCTGGGGAGATGAACAGGGTAGCCCCGGCTGATGGTGAATGTCAGTGAAAGTTGGTTCATGTAGGTCCTATCAGTAACGGCTGGTTGTTGAGTTTTGCTAGTTGTTAAGAGCTGTGTCCTACCCTTTTTTTTTCTGTTTTGTGAAAAATGACACACAGATAAATGCGCCTTTTTTTTTGCCTCTCTGATATCTCTAAAATTCATAGCTGATGCTCTTCCAATTTCTTACTAAAGTACAATCTAATCTTTATGTGGACTAAAAGTGTGCATTTAAGATTTGGGGAAATAGTTTGGTTCTGGAATATTTTAATTAATATTTTACATAAAAAATATCCAGCGTAGAGTATTAACAGTCAGTGTAGATGTTTTCCATATATAGATGACTGCTTTGGCCTACTGATCTTTGTCTTTTAGCAAAATGCTTCCACTATTGGGTTATCTTGATTCCCAAGACAATTCAAACTTACTCAGAAATCCTAAATAAGCAGAGAAGGGGGGGAAGAAAGAAGGAAGGAAAGAAATTATTGAAAGGCTAAGAGATGTCACAAGATAACACTCCTTGACATTAACATGGTGAATCAGAAATAGTCTTTGCCACAAGTGCTCTAAAAGAGATTGCTGCAGTAAAGAGGAGATTCTGGCTATCTACAAGAAAGAAGGCAAAACTGTCAGCAGTAGTTTGCCTTTGGATACCTTGTTTGAGCAGCTTTGCACCCAGTGAGCAGTAAGAGTAAAATCTTAAATATATCATGGACAGAGCTAGTTTAGAGACTGGAAAATTGTGTTGGGCTGGGTTTGATTTGCAAGAGACGGGGCATCTGAATGATTATACAGGATACACTGCAGTGGAGAAAGCTGTGTCTGATAACATATGCAAGAGTTAGGACAAGGTTTCCCTTACTATGAGCAATTCCTTAAGAAAGAGCCGGATGTTGGCATGAAAAAAAAGAAGAAGAAATACAAGGGCTATCTGCAGCATGCAGTGGAGTGCAATGCGGAAATCTCTGCGTTAACTCCAGAGCCAGAAGCCTTATCAGAGGCTGGGAGAGAGGGGAGTGAGAAAGATGAAATTAATCTGAGAGGAGAATGCAGAAGAAAACAGCAAGGAAGACACTGAGCTGAGGCAACCTCTTACTACTCTCCAGTTATAACAGAAGAGCCCCAGTATTAAAAAAAAACAGTATGAGAATAATCGAGGTTTAAGTGATGTGTCTGGCTTTCCAGCCAAAGAAGGCTTTTATAAACCTTCTGCTGAATTCTAATCTTCTTGAAGCACAGTTTTATTATATTTGCCTTTATCTGGAATGTGAATGTCATTTGTACTAAATATATCATATCACATTATTTTTCCAATGAATATTGCAATGTGGCAGTACATTTCCTGTTTTCAGATTTTATTAGATTCAAAAGGTGGAGCACTATAAAGCATCTCAGAGATTCTTAAAAATTGCATAGGGGTTGCACAAAATGATTCTTATTATTGCTGTTGCAAGCTAATGTACTAGTTTTTGCGCAGTTATTGTGGTGTTCTCTCATAATAGTGCATACAAATTGAAATTGTACATAAATCACAATTTAGTGTAGGAGAGAATAGTGTAATTTTCCATAGATAAAAGTATTGGATACTTAAAGGACTATTTCATTTTGTGGTGAGGGGCTGTTTGGCCAAATTTGGTGTCTGAATTTAAATAAATAGCTCCATAATGTGGGCAAGAAGGAGCTTTAATAGAGGAAGCGTTTAGATCTCTACTCACAGAATCACAGAATGGTTGAGGTTGGAAGGGCCCTCTAGAGATCAGCTAGTCCAACCCCTCTGCTCAAGCAGGGACACCTAGAGCACATGGCACAGGGATGCATCCAGGCAGATGAAGATCTCCAGAGAAGGAGACTCCACAACCTCTCTGGGCAGCCTGTTCCAGTGCTCTGGCACCCTCATAGTAAAGAAGTTCTTCCTCATATGGAGATTAAACTTCCTATGTTTCAACTTACACCCATTATCCTTGTCCTGTCAGCGGCCACCACTGAGAAGAGCCTGGCCCCATCCCCCCTACAATCACCCCTCAGGTACTTGAACATATTGATCAAATCTCCTCTCAGTCTTCTCCAGACTAAACAGGCCCAGCTCGCTTAGTCTTTCCTCATGAGGTAGATGCTCCAGTCCCTTAATCATCTTTGTTGCTCTCTGCTGCGCTCTCTCTAGAAGCTCAATGTCCTTCTTGTACTGGGGAGACCACAACTGCACCCAATATTCCAGGTGTGGCCTCACCAGAGCTGAGTAGAGGGGGAGGATCACCTCCCTAACTCACTAGGGTGCCCTTGCTAATTCATTCCCATGACAGAGATCAAAGAACAAAATAGCATGGAGAGTCCTGGAAAGCAGCAGCAGAAGCTCAGTGTTCTGCACTAAAACACATACTGCCTGTGTAATTCTTGTCCGCGAGGCAGACAAGTGGAGAACTCCAATTTCTGGGGGTGTTGGGAGGTGAGGGTATAAGAAAGAAATTCAATTTATTGCTTTATTTCTAAGTAAGATTTAAAAAACGAGGAAAAGGTAGACTTCTTTAAAAACTGAGATCCAGTGTTACACCTGTTGTAACATTGTTGACTCTGTGTCACCAATTTCAAATTCTTTCATGATTTCATGACATTTTTTTCCTGTAGTAGTTGAAAATGCTCTTTTTCTCCTAATACAGGTGACTCACTGGCACAGCCCATATTTTTTTGCCTACTTCCCTTCAGCCAATTCCTTCCCAGCTCTTCTTGCAGATATGTTGTGTGGTGGAATAGGATGTGTTGGCTTCTCTTGGGTAAGTCTACTGGCAGTATATACTGCTGTGGGGTAATGATGCTTCACCTTGCCACGATTTTAAGCAATTCAGTAACATTCTTAAAATTATTGATCAATAGCAGTGAAGTCACAAGACTATTACAGACAAATTTACCTGTGTAATTAAGTATCTTCACATCGAGGCCCTGAACATATCCAGTAATAAAAGCCTGCTGCCAGCATTTAGAATAAGTAGTGAGACTACCCATATACCTGCATTTCTGGACCCATAATAATCCTAAAAAGTGAGTGCAGGCTTATTGATAACTCATTAAATAATATGACTGTTGCCTATCACTTGGTGCTATGATTTCTTTTGTCATCTGCATTAATAGAAAATTGTATTGGGAAAAACAAACACACCTTAATTTCAGATGAGCTCTTCTCAAAAGAGTTTACTACCTGGTGTGGAAAAAATATGCAAGGTACAAATCCTAGGTTTCACATTTGACAGTCATGGTTCTATGTGAGATCCTATGTGGCAATTTTTTAATATGTATTAGGAATACCATGCATAAAACAATGTTCACAATCCTAATTTAGTTGGTAAAGTTATTCAACTAGTCTCTTGCCTCCATAACCAAAGACAGAAAGGGAGATGCCCTTGCTCTGGTGGATCCAATCCCTCTCCATGGTCTAGTGAGATCATTCCCTTTGCTTTATTTTTCAACACAGGCTGCAAGTCCAGCTTGCACAGAGCTGGAGACTGTTATGCTGGATTGGCTAGGGAAGATGATTAATCTGCCTGAAGAGTTTTTAGCTGGGAAGGATGGACAAGGTGGAGGCGTCATTCAGGTAGGCCATATTCAGGACAGAATATGCGGTGAATTTGTGATTATGATTTGGTAAAAGCTTCATACTAACATATTAATAAGGGGAAGACATATTTTCACTGCAACCAGAGTTCAATTTAGATTTTCAGAGAGACTGACATATCCATACGTGAGAATATCCATACATGGGTACAACCAGTCATGAATGTAATTTTTTGATTCTCAAACTCTCTTCTCTGTAAAAAAATTGTTAGTAGGCTAATTTTATTGCCCAATTTTGAGTTTAACATTCAAACCGTAATGCTAAAGAATCCAGTAGGATAACAATACTAATGTTTTGATCAAGTGAAGTGAATGTGGAGAAGCTTATCAACACTCTTCAGGGATGTTGCGTGGCTGAAAATAGAGCATAACTTCTCAAATCTGAGGATTTTCAGTAGTTACTGAAGACATCAGAGCACTATGAAAAGGGATTTGAAAGGTTCACCTTAGACATGATCAAGCATTTCCCTAAATCATTTTCCAAAACAATCCTCCTTTTTCATGAAAATAAAAAAAGTGTCATAGATCAAGCAATGGATAACAAAAATAGCAGAGAATCTATATAAGTAGAAAAAAAATAATATAGTAGAAAGTCTTATCACTCTTAGTTAAAGCAGCTGGCATAGTTTGAAGATGTCTTCCTTCTATAAAAAAACAAAATGTTGGCATGTAATGATAAAATGAAGCTGCTTAAAATTAGAATCTAAATCTGAATTATTTAGATAATACAAAATGCAGACTGAACTCCAATACCCAAAATAGAAAAAAAGTTCCCAAGCTGTTGAAAATTTGACTGCTTAATGAAAGCTTGCAGTTTCCGAACAGGGCAAAACTCATACAGTAATGAATACATTGTCATTGGGCAAGCTTAAATACGTAATAAAGCCATATTGTGTGCTAGAGGTCTCTCCACTGGTGTATGGTCTTTCTGCAAATGCACTAGACTCTGGTCGCAAATACTTATCTAATTAAAACAGGTTCTTATAGTGATGAAGACTAAATTTTAAATAATTCTTCTGTGCTGCTTTAATAATCTGTGGAGTTTGGTTTTTGAAGGACAGGGCACAATGCATTTTATTCTAAACTAGGCTTCTAAATGGATTTGAATTACATGCGAAAAGTAGGGGCTTCTTTCACTGGTCTCAGCTCCAAGTGTCTACAGCATGTTCCAGTGAATTTTGCCACACAGTTTCCAAGTCAAGTATGAATTTAAGCTGTTATCATGACCTAATGCAAATTTTTTCTCCACTTACAACATTGTGTATCCAGAGTAACTCCTTACTCATCCTGCCTGCTCTGTTATTTTCACTACAATGAGTCTGTTTTTTTTTTTATTCAAGAAATCAAGCTTTTGTCATGTGTCTCAGCAGCATTTATTTTATCCCAATGAAAGCAAGCAATTATGCCTGATGATTATCAGCAGGAAATATTGCCCTTTGAGGCTGACAACACCGATTGCCCATAATTTTCATCAGATACCAGTCAGTTTCAAGAATCGAAACGTGTTCTGTGCTCCTGCTTATGATGAAGCCATTTGTGCTGTAGATCTTCAAGAACATCTTGTTCTTGAAACAATAATGATACACATAAGAGAGGCAAAGACAGCATGAGTGTATGTAACTGCCAGTCATTTCCTTGGTAAATACCAAGTAATTATTGTAGTATTGGGTAAAACTGAGCCCATGAAAATTGGCTCTTAATTATATTTAGAAGTCTATGTCAATATGAAGCACTTTGCAGTATACAGGATGACACTTGAAAATGGCAAAAGATGAAAGAAAATTTCAGTTCAGAGCTCTGGTGGACATGAGCATCAGCTCTCTCTGCTATTCCCTCTGCCACTTGAGCCTCCTTGCCATGGCAACCTCTGTGTGCTGGCGGTAAAAGGAAAGGTATCATCATCCTTCACTTAATCCAGAGCACAGCATTCGAGAGGGGGAAAAAATATCGTCTACAAATGAGTGAGAAAGCGACTTTCTTTCTGAACCTTGTCTGAACATAGCACGTATGCATCCTGCTGTTCATTCCAGATAAACTGCTGAAAAAAATACATTTACTTTGAATTTTAAAAGGGTTTTCTTGCTCTGCAAAAAAGGAGTATTTTATGCTTGAAACAAAACAAGACTCAGCCTATCACTGGTCTGGGAAGTCTAATTCATTTTTGTTGTCAGTAAGCCGAGCAAAGAACGAAGACATTTTTCCCCAAAATATTCAGTGCGAGACTTTGATGCCAAGTGAAGGGAATAGCCTTGTGAGCCAAGTTCTGTGAACACTTTCAGCTTTAGTATAAAAGAGGTGACAAGCAGAAACTGAGGCAAGGTGAAAAAGAGCCTATGCGACATCCAAACGCGTTTTCTAGTCACTGGGTTCACGCATCCTAAGGCTATATCCCACCTCTGTAAGGCAATATTCAGCCCTTTCCTGTTCATCCATGTTTCCACACAAGGAAACTCATACAAGTCAGCCTTAGCTGACTAGGCATCAGACCAGTGGGATGCCAGGACATTTGGTGACACTCATCAGATGATTGACCCTATTCTTTTGCCTGTGACTTTCCCAAGCTCATCCAGGCAGTCTCCAGCAGTGGGGACTTAATTTTACAAATATCAAGTTAATGCCTGAATTTTTAAAATTTCCTACAGCTGTATATTTAATGTCCATATTCCTTATATGCACTGGAAAGACACCAGCAGTTTTATAATTGAGCCAATAATAAAACCTGACTATAAAACCTTCTTCTCACCTTCTTGACTTCTTCAAATAACTAGACACCAAAATCATCATATTCTAGCTTACTAGACTGTCTGGAAGTACAAACATTTTTCACCATTCCTTAGATATCACTGTGTTCAGCATGTGAGAAATAACTTTGCTAACAAAAGATCTGATGACAGAAGTTTCATTTCCTGAAACATGCATCAGGTTGGATTCATCTCACATTTTGTCAGATAGAAAAACACTTTTAGAGGATCTAGTTATCTAAGCTGACAAGCCTATGTAGTTGCTGAGGCCTATGTACATGGTCTTACTGCTTTGTACATATGGTTACCTCTCTACACTGAACACCGAGGGACCCTAAACAATTATTTTACATTAAAAATTTAGCTTAATAATGATGTGCTCAGTGGCAGCCAGAATGAGTGTATAAAATTGTCTCTGGAGATCTAAAGTAAGAGAAATAACAGTTACTCTACAGTTGTTCCTGGTTAAGGAGTGATTGAGGTCTGACTCTGGTGAGCCTTTTTGTATACTTCTAGGCCTGTGAATCTGTTTTTTTATGGTATGGTTGCAAGGTTGATGCATGAACTGAAGAGAAACAGCCAACAGAGGCATTAGAAGGAGGATAGCAGAAATTTAACAGGGATTCCTCCCATTGACGTCACATGTATCCTTGAAAAGCTTAAGAGTGTGCAGTTTCTCATGTGCAGTTGGTGTTATCAACTTCTCAAATTCCTACCGAAGAAAATACTGATTTCTTCTGGAACCTCCAAAAAAACTCCTGCGGAATCTTCCGTTGATCCCACAGGGAAGTGCCAGTGAAGCCACACTGATTTCACTGCTTGCTGCAAGAACAAAAATGATTAAATGGGTGCAGTCAGAAAAGCCTGAGCTAACAGAAGCAGAAATCATGGGCAGGCTGGTGGCCTATGCTTCAGATCAGGTGAGTACCTCTCAAACATAGGCCTGGGAGCATGGGGTCTATCCTTACTAATTGCAGCTGCCCCAATTGGCTGGTATAAACTCTTTGGAGGAAGGACCTCTGCACATGGTTTTGTTTTTTCCATTCTTTTTGTACATAATTACTGATGTACCAGTGTTTCATGTATGCTACTGTAAAACAAAGAATAAATTTCCTGAGATTAGTGTCGCATAGGTATTGTGCTGCTTCTCTGCAAGGAAGTCCATTGCAGTAAATATACTTGAGTTAAGGTGATTATTTCAACTGTTCAATAAATCTAGATCATCTGTTGTCAGACCTGGGCATGTGTCTCCATGTGTGCACACATAATTTTCCCATACACACACACACACACACAAACACAAATGCATATATCCACCATGCATATATCCATGTATGCTTGCATGCAAGCAAGTGTATGCACACACATAAATCTACTACATGAATATAAAGCAAACTGGTCATAATACTGGACAAAGTCTAAAACTTTTTTTTTAAAGGTACTGAAATATGTATGTGTCACTAGCTGTGAAATCTTCTAAGCAAACATAATCCTTGATTTCTGACTGTGAGTGGTATTTAGCAGACTGAACTGGGCTGAATTCTCAGCAGGCTGAGACCATGAGAGGCTTTTACTGTTAATGAAAGTAAATTTTAGTCCTGTGAGTTCTGCTGCTCCTACGTGTCTAAAGCTCTAATCCTACTGAAGGGCCAAGCAATGCTACTTTTCTCAAAAGCTGTGACATTTTCTTATCTAAATGTCAATTACTGAAGGAACTTGCTTAGTACTACCATTCAGTTTGAAGTAAAGTCTAATTTTGCAGGGTAAACCAGGCAGGTTTCAGGTTTGCCTTGATTTACTAAACTAAGTATATGTTAAGGACAGCAATTTAAAAGTACTTTTGCTCTTTGCTAGTGGGAAAAGGGACTATACTTGTAGGGTAAAAATATGCATCAGTCAAAATAATAAAGTATCAGGAGAGATTACTGTTTTCAAAAGACACAAAAAATGTGTGTCCTTTTTTGGCACAGACAGCTGATCCCAGAGCTGTAACTCTGACCCAGTGATGCACGTAGCCCTATTATTTTTTTCCCGTTTCCCCTCTGTAAGTGGCTGACCTGAAATGAGGACTGACAGGCTCCCACGCACATTGAATGTCAGAGACTTTTCTGTTTAGAGAAGGATTCGCCTTAAGATATCGCTGACCTTTCAAAGAAGATTGTTGCTGAGCTCACCGGCCCTTCTGCATTAAGGACAGACCTGTATGACTCATATACAGTAATCCATGAAAGAAAGAAAGCCTAAGCCATCCTTTGGGAGAGAAAATCACGCACTGACAGAGCAAAACAGTGCAAGGATGGATTAGGAGGCAGGTAAAAACTTGGCTAGTAGGGATATCTGAAGCAAAGAGCCTCTGATATCCTGGGAGACCACCATAACTTTGAGGCATTTCAAGAGACTCTTTATCCCACTGATACTCTTCATTATATAAATGAGCATAGAGCAGAATTGGGAATGAGGCTTTCCCCAGCGACTACCTGTGGGTTTGAAGACAACTGAGAAGGATCCCTGCCCATTTTAGTGCCTTGCTGAGGCTCTTCCTGGATAGGACGCTGCACCTCAGAGCTGAGAGGAGCATTCAGCAGAGACCTGACGGTGAGAAACAAGGACAGAAGTTGGGGTAGCTGTTTGATATTCTGAAATTTACTGAGGTCATTCCCTTCATCAAAACCTCTTTGCCTTTTCCTCTGGCTAACTTAAGTAGCTGCCCGCTCATATTGCTGATTTCTGTTTAGTTCCTGGCTCTTTTCCAGGATGGCAGGATATTCCTGGGCACATCGCTGAGGATTAGGAACTCCACAGGACAACAGAGCACTAACAATTTGTTGTAATGCAAAAGCATATTCGTGGTTTTAACCCTAGGATTATGAGTGGTGGTATGAAATGTTATGAAACAGCCTTGTTAATTTTTTGTGAGTTTGCTCATTTACAATCCTTTCCATGTGTAAATTGTTTATAAAAAAAATCTCATGATATTGCAGTGGTAAACACATTGTGTTCCGCTTCAAAGGCCAGTTATATTTCACAATTCGACTTCCAAATTTTCTGAAGTTGGTGCCTAATTAGTTTACCAAGGCACATTGACAAACGGCACAACTGAGATACAAGTTAATAGTAAATCTGTTTTTAAAAGGAGTAATTTTAGGGATATAGGAAGTTGAAAGGTAGGAACTTCATCTGATCTTGTTGAATCTCTAGTTTAGATTAATCTTTTCAATGATTATATGCTAAATTACAGTATAATTAATAAGTGCTCTTCTAGGTCCTAGTAAGAACCAACTAGAATGACATGGAGATTATAAATGAGAACAGTCAGGATATGAAGAGGTGGGGAATTTTCTTCTTTTAAATTAGTGGTGATTAAAGAAATCTTATAAGAGGGAAAGTAAAATAGTTCATTTTTTTCTCTCTCACAACTAAAAAGTCATGCTCTAAAAAAGAGTATTTTGTGGCTAAATTGACCTTTTATTATTAACAGAAATACATTTTTCCTATTCCTCTATTTTAGAGATGGAATATGTTAAGGATTTCCATAGTAATGTTTTTATTTTTCTATACTGAAATGTGCTTTATGTTTTAAAAAGCAATCTAAGGATTATCCAAATAAAAAAGCTTGTAAGTAAAGTAACTCATTGAGACTGCATTATTAATACCCTAACAAAATGAAGGAATAACTGGACTATGATTTATTCAGTAAGTAATATAAAACAAAATAATAATGTAAGAAAATATTTCAAATTAAACTATATCATGGCATAAATTTTTTTATAGTTCAGCAAACCTGAACACTGTGAAAATATTATCTTGAGCAACAAAATTATTATGAGGAGGCTGATTGTCTTTTGGTTGATTTGGAGCCAAATCCTGAAGCTCTTTATCAATCCAACCTAATTCTGACAGCATGTTAATTAAAGCTCTCATTAACATTAATTGAACTCTTGTCTGAATGAGACCTTAGCAGTGGTTTCAGGAATATTTCAGAGTTACTATGGAGGGTGGGGATGTGGGGGTGAATGAGTATGGAGGAAAGGGACAGAGCGAGCCTTGTAATGTTTGTTACCAGCAACAGCCCCAGGATCTCAAATGTTGCTTTATCTGAATGAAATTATTCTTTTTGTTTGTCTTTTTTTTTTCAAATTCAAATGAACTTCTTACTTTCCAGTAATAGATGGCTGCCTTAAAACTTCTCTGCTTCCTTGCAGGCCCATTCATCTGTGGAAAGGGCTGCATTAATTGGTGGTGTGAAGATAAAAAATGTTCCTTCAGATGAAAAATTTACTGTTTGTGGTTCAGCTCTAAAAAAAGTTTTGGAGGAAGACAAAGCAGCTGGCCTTATCCCATTTTTTGTAAGTACTAGGTTTTAATTTGTCAATGGATCTGTTGCTTCAAATAGGCTGTTTTTGGGAAGAGTAGATACTCTCATCCCCGACAGGAATTAACTATAATACAGAATATATTCTATATATATACAATATAGAATATATAGACAGAATATAGAATATAGAATGTCAGGATGGGTTCTGTGAATGTTCTTCACTGTCATGAACGTTGCTGGAGTAATTTTAATTATTTATATGTGCAGGAAAATAATTTGAGGCATTCTGGAAGTTCTTTGCAGCAGGAGAAACTCATTTGAGCAGCGGGCTAAAGTAGCTTAAGTTCATAATCCCCAGATTTTGACATAGAACAGTCTTGGATTGGATAAAATTGAGAAGTTTGGTTCTACTATAATAAATGTGTGGTTCAAAAGAGTATTTGCTTATATATCAGATCTGTTCCTCCTGTCAATTCAGAATACCATCTTAGTATTTCAAGTTAAAACAAGAGACTACCACCTGCTTTTCCACAGAGAAAGTAAACTTTGTGTTTACATCATGAATAAAATGCTCTGCTCATTTCTGAGCATTGTACCTCTGCAAAACCTCATATAGATCATAATCTGTATAGATTTATGAACAGGTATAATATGTTAGCAATAATATATTAAATTGGCCTACAAACTTTACAAACTGCTATTTATAATATAATACTGATATTTACTGCTATTTATAATGCAGTATTTTTTAGTCTTAACAACTTCCATATCTAAATAGCAGTATTATAAAATATATTCTTTTTTCGCTCCTCCAGAAAGTCATTATTTATTTTCTTTCAGGTGGTAGCATATTCAAAAGGGCCAATATGTCTTAAGTTTCTATGAACACTTCAGAATATTTAGCAGATTAAGGTTGTTTATAGTCATGGGTAAATGCCAAATGCGACAAAGAAGCTTAAATCACATGAAGCCTTTTGAAAATACGCGTTTTTTTTGTCTTCTTGTTAATAATCTTTAGTGTCTGTTTATACATTGTGTGAGGATGGCTAGGGTGAAGGACATATTTCTTAGGTGTGGTTTGCTGCTATTTCCTTGCCTGTCTGGAACAAGTGAGTCCCTGGGATGACTGAGCACACCACAGTGATCGCTTTCCAATACAGCAAGGCTGTGACTGAGGGACAGCGCATCCTAAATGCTTATTTAGGGCTGCCTAAGTTAGCTTAATTGTACTGGCTGCATCTGTGGAAGTGTATGTGTGCCACAATCCCTGTGTTATTTCTGTTGCATTATACGAGCTCGCAATATCTTGATCAGGTCCAACTTGATTATCTTACTATTCATTTTAAACCATTCTGTTTTCTAGGCTTTTCTTTGTTTCTTTGTTTTGTTTTTCTTCTTAACAACATGCCAAGTATGGCCCTATGGTATATACCACCTCTCCATGCACCAACAACAAAGGTAATGGGGCTTGTTGCTCATCTGATATCCATTAACAAAAAATGCAAGTTGTCCCTCATAAATATTCATTTCTTGTTAATTTTTCTTGTGTAGCAAAGGGAAATCAAATATTCTGTTTATGCATTCAGCAACACCATTACAAAGGGTGATTTAACTGTTGTTTTTCCTCCTGTGTTTGCCTAGCTGTGCAAAACAGGCTTTCAAAGGCAGCAAAGGCTCAGTCTGAGTTAATATGGCCTGTGCCAGGTCTTCCATTTATTTGTATACATAAAACATGTCAGCTTAGATTAAACTAGATCTCATTATCCTCATGGTTGGCCTCTTAATTCAAAAGGTGTGTTAATTCTCTGTCATGCTGAGCAGCAGTTCATGCACTGCATTAGTGCTCCCTTCTCTGGCTTGCAGATTTCAAAAGCCTTTCCATTTCTTTTGTTCTTGAGTAATTTGGTGCTATTTTGTTTTGGTCCCCTGACAAAGACAGGCACATTGCTAAGGAAACACCTTACTCCACTTTGTTCCTTGCTCCCTGCATCGCAGATCCTTTGCTAACAGGAGAGATCCAACATCAAAGCAGAAAATTTAACAAGAAATTCTGCCTGGAGAGACCAGGCAGTGTGAATGCAGAGAGAACATTGCTAATAAAGAGATCTTGGCAGCCTCCAAGCTGAGGCAGTCTCTCTTATCAGAAAAATTATTTTGTAGGGGATCAAAAAGAAGATCAAGACACAAGCGAAGTATGATGCTTTTTATGCCTGATTCTCTGCTCATATTAAACAAATTGGGAAACATCATTCTAAAGTTGATAGAAATGCTTTATTTTAGAGGCAAGAGGAGAGTCGGGGAGGGGTTCCTTGCAGGGCTTGATGTGAAACAGGATTTCTCATTAGAGCAATTTGGTAATTACAGATTTGCTTTCCATATAAATAATGTTTGGCAAACAGTCTTTTTAGCTGGGGACTGGAAGAGGGCATTGTTTTTAAAAAGAGCATCTTTGAATTCCAGTGCACCATCAATATCTTATGGCACTAGTAACTTATCACTTTGCTCTGTAAAAGCTGTTGCCAAATTGAAGCAATGTGGCTAGAGCTTTCGGTTCTTTATTTCCTAATTCAGATTTGGGTTAATTTGTTTCTTGCAGAATACTATTGCAGAAATTGCAGCACAGGCTTAGTTTGATATAGTGAAGCAGGGCACACTGTGCAAACTTTACGTTCGGCCCTACCACATGAGGAGGAACCAGAGATGTCACAATTCACACAGAGGTAGTAATTTCCAAGTGTGGCCCACATCCAAGTCTTCATGCAGCCCCTCATTCAGCAGAGCTTTAAAGCACGTGTTGAAGTCATGTTCATTTCATTAATTATAAACACTCGCTGGAGGTTAAGCACATGCTTAACTGCTTTTCCCAGCTGGGCCCTGTGTTCTCAGCTTGATCAAAACCTCTGCATTAGGTGCATGTTGACCGGGATACCTAAAGACAGAGACCACTAAGTTATGCACTTCTAAATTCAGAGGTCTGGTCCACTACATTCAAGCACAGTTCGCTTGAATGTGTTTAAGTGCCCTGCAGGTTTTACACCTGTTTGACTCAGTAGTTGTTTCTTTTCTTTCATGTGGTAACATTCAAAAGGGCCAATATGTCTTTCATGTATCAGAACTGTTATATCGCAACAGCTGGCATGTATATAGTGCCGTATACTTCAACGACTTCATCCACTTCATGCTGCGGTAACATGATCTCTTTTCTGCTGAACAAAGACCCAGCGTGAAACCCCTCTGACTGCAGCTGAAATGACTCTTCTGAGTGATGACCTACAGGATATTAAGAAGCAGCCTGTTTGTATCTGGACTCGCATGGGAAGCAATAAATCTGCATCAGACTGACACGGGAGCCATCTTTTCAGTAGGAGTTAACACTAAGATCCTGACCACAGATTCCTGTTTGGAAGAAGCAGTCTCTGAGGCATACACAGACCTCGAGGGCGATGTTTCTTACCCCACAGTTTGTGAATTATTACTGTTTCCTAAGATACTGGGTTGTGGTTTAGTAAGCTATTGCATTTTTTTTAAAGCCACAGTAACTCTGAAGAGTGCAAGCTGGCAAGCAAATGAGTAAGGGAAAATAAAAATAATAAGAGAGCATTAAAAACAGTCTCATTTTAATTAATTACACGTGAAAAGCCTAACGGCAAAACTATGCAAAATGCATCCACATCTTTTCATCTTTCTTTTTTTTTTCTGGGAAAAAAGAAAGGTGCTAGGAGGTTTTCCAGTGGAAATGGCTGAGAATCTCGACCTTTATTTTGTGCTACCCAAGAACATTGCTCTTGGGCATCATAAAGATTCAAGCACGTTTCCTGACATTGCTCTTGCTTTCAGGAAAGTGATAAGGGAGGTGACTGGCGCAAGCATTTGAGCTGCTTTACGCTTGCAGCGAGGAGGGAGACCGATACAGAGCGCACAGCCTGGAGAGGAGGAGGCCCGCGGGCTCTCCGGAGCCACCAGGCTCCTTTCTGGGATGCAGCCCGTCCCCTGCCCCTTGCACAAATGTGATTACACTGCCATTGTGCAGGTTACAAATTGAGTTAGATTCACTGCTCAGCACCAAGGCAGGCTAAGGACAGCCCTTGCAGGAACAGGTGCTGTTGCTTTAAGGGGTTTCTGGGAATTAGCACAAGTAGCTTTGAGGCTTAGACACCTGCACAGAGGACAACAGAATTATTTTAGAAGATGAGGTGTCGTTTACAGAATAGGCCATTTATTTAACTGTGTTTGAGCTCATGTAATGTCTTCTCAAAGCAACCTATGCCTTACATTGATTAGGAGAATGCAGTATGGCATTAATGTCAATAATTCGTATTTTCTGTTGTGAAATTGGGCAGTAATTGTCTCTTTATTTGTTTTTTTATTTTAATCAGTGGAATGGCCGAGATAATTGTGCTCTAATCTTGCCAGAAAGTCCAGTATTCGTTATCATGAAATGTATGTGTGTGGAGCTAAGACCTGAGGACACACTTCAGTATTTTCCAATGCAATGGGTCAACCACTATTCTTCTATGTGTATACAGAAAAATTAGATTTGTTTTCATCATGGTCTCCACCATTCTTTTGTGCTCCTATTTCTAGATCAATAGTTCAACCAAAGATGAAATGTAGGTTTTTCCTGATTGTGGGAGCATCAGAGCATCTCAGCTAGGCAGCAGTGCAACAAATGTATTATTATTTACTTCCTATGTGCATGCTCTGCTAGCCAAAACACAAACCTATTCCTCAGAAAAAATATATCCTGCATTTTAAAATATTTTTTAATGTTTTAAATTATTTTTAATCCACCAAAATTATGAATAAACTTCCAGAGTGCTCATAAGACCACCTCAAGCATTGTTAGCATTCTTCTCTTTTCATTTGTCTCAGGAATATGAGAGGGCCAAATGTAGGTAAAAGCTAGATTTGGCAGAAAAAAAAATTGTCAGGAGCAAAATTTTATTATCTCTGTGTTCAATATGCTTCTCATTTTCGAAACTGCATATATTTCCATCCCACATTCTTAATTGTTTGATTGTTTGAAAAAAAAAATCTGAATCAGCACTTTCTTATTTTAATAATCCCTTTTCCTGTTACTTTTTTTTTATTGGTGCAATGAACATTTAGTTATTACATATTATAGTTATTAATTTTGGTGCAGTAGTCAATCTGGGGGAATACGTGCAGTGCTGGAGCTAAAATGCTTTCTGGATTTTGTATGACTACGTTTAATCACTCCTTCTCTACATGAAGGCGGGATATGACTTTCTCTAACAGTATAGCCAAGTTTATTTAAACTGAGTGCCGCCCGAATACTTCCTATTAAGCAGAAACATTCAGCTCTCCACAGAAACAGATGTATTTGAAAGGATACACGGATACTTAAGAGAGACAGGGCTTACCTATAGCAATGGGTTGTTTATTAGACAGCTTACTACTGGCATCATCATTATTTTTTTGATCACAGAAAACTTGTTGGGATATGGAGACAACAAGTCAAGGAAAAACTAGAAGCCCAAAGAATGTTTGTTTTTTGAAAAGTATAGTAGATGGCCAGATACTATCAAGGAGTTCCTTGCTTTTCTTAAAAAGTAAACACAAGTACATAAATAAAAAAGCTTCTGCACTTGAAATATTTGTAGGCATCTTCTGGCTGTGGTATGGTGTTGCGTGTGACCTTGTATAAATCATCTAATGCCTTAATACTTCAGTGTTCCAGTTAAAAAAAAGTATACTTTCTCTATTTAAACTGTGAAGTGTATTTTATTACATATAAATTCAGCATAAGGCACAAACCTGTCCCAAGTTTTATTATTATCTGCAAGAATGAGACTAGGTGTTTAAGACATGACTAACAAAATATAAAATAATGTCTATTTACCTGCACTTGATAGTTGTTTTGTGCATTATAATTCTGTCTGCTTCCTCCCAATAAATTTCCACATCTCACCTTCACCGAGTTACATTCTCTAACAAACATCAAACTTCCCCCAGCATTTATGTTGCCTCTGCTTTTGACCCACTGTGGTCATACGCAGGATGTCTCTTACATGAAACGAACAGAGTGAGGGTAGTGCAGTTTCAGAATTTTAGGATGAAGCTGGGAGAGAAAAACTTACTTGGAAAATACCTCTACCAGTGAACAGGCTCCAGCCTGCAGATCCTCTCAGCGTAAATCAGCTACAAGTCTCTGTTACAGAGCCTCCGCTCTTTAATTCAAACTGTAACATTTTACGGTCAACTGTCAACAGGAATCTCAGTATCTTTACAGTTGTCCGTGTTCAAAGTTTGCCTGTACTAGCATAAATTGCAAATCATTTTAATGATAACTGCATGTGTGATATTAGTATTGGTTTACATGAGAAGCATGTGAGACACATAGGAAATACATACACTAGTATATGTGACTTTATTATCCATTAATTTTATATTAATATTATATTTTATGTATTTGTCTCCGTGTATGCTTATGGGAGCTTTGGGAAAAAAAGTATATTCTCCAAAGTTCCACTGAAGAGTAGGCATCGGCTAAAATCAGTAAATTTTGTCCTAAATCATCTGTACTCCTGTTTGTTGTCCTTGTGGACAGTTTTGTTCATTTGATATTTTTCTTTGCTGTAAGACTTGTTTTGTTAATGTTTTTGTTTTTTTTTTTTTGGCTCTGCAGTTTTGTGCAACACTTGGAACCACCCCATGCTGCTCCTTTGACAAACTGTTAGAACTGGGTCCTCTTTGTAAGTCTTTATCTGCTGCTACTTTCTAAAATTGCAGATATCAGTTGAAGTCATAGTGAGTCACTTCCCAGGCAATTTGCGGTGTCACTGTCCAAGTTCAATGAAGCTTCTTGTTTATATAAATGATACCTTCAGTTACAAGGGTTTTTTTCTACTTCCAGTGTGAAAAAACCAACCAACCAAACAAACAAACAAACAAAAAACCCAGTGTATCATAAGTACTTCCATTTGTAACACTTTTCTTCAAGCCATTCTGCTTACAAGAGGATCTGGAGCAATAGAAAAGACCCAGGGAATGACTGAACTCCAGTTCTCTACACCAAGTGCTTTGTTTCTCTTTGTTTCTAATGACTTTAAAACAGCAGGGCAGCAGGGAAACATGCACCAAAACCATGCGTGTTCTCCTTAACATTTTCTCTTCTATCATCACCTACTTCCTTCCTTTGCAAGAAAGGAAGGGATGCTGAATATAGTGACTAAGTCATGGCTTCATCGTAACCGTTTCTGTGTTACTGTCTACCTGGCAAGCAAAGGCTTGGTCAGAGGCACACTTGTTGACTGGTGTGACAAAAGTGCACAAGATATATATATTCAACTGTACATTTAGAGCAGGCAGTTTATAGATTGAAGCAGGCAGAAGTGGTATTGAAGTTTTTTCATTCATGCAGGTGGGGCCTAAAACACTTGGATTTTGCATGGTGGTGACTTGCTTCGTTAGGTTTTCTCCATTTTACCCTTTCAGCATAAGCATCAGAGATTCCTAGTTCTCCACTCTAAAATGTTTTTTCGTATTCTGCTTAGAAATGATTTAGCTGTTATTCCTATGGACTTGACCTAATAAAACAGTAACACCAATGCTTTAAGGTGTTTCATCAGCTGCTCTCCTCACTTTCTGCTTGTACAGTGCAGGACCAGCAGGAAAACTGCCCGTGTCCTAACTCCTAAGCCTCATGATAGCCTTTCTGCAAACAGCAGAATGCTTTTCTTATTTTCCAGATAGTAATGGAAAAAGAAATAAATATAGTTCACAAGAATACAAATTTCCGCATAAACTTAAGGCCCAAACACAGATCTAAATAGATGTGCCCCTCTATGTAAAAATGTGCATCAGCGTTGTTTGGTGACTTGGGTAACGATGCTACGTGGGCTTCAGTCATTAGCTCCTGGCTGGAATGTGTTGCCGTGTGAACTTTTGCGTGTGATTAATAGCAGAGTGTGAGTAGAAAATTAGAGAATAAATGAGAGCCATATGCTAAAATATTTTTGCAGAAACCACTCAGTGAGTAATCAGAACTAACACATTCTTAAATCTTTCAGTGCTTTCTCTTGGATAAGTGTCTCAATCCTCAAAACAGAGTTTGCTGTATATAGGTAAAAATATGCATAGATGTGTATTATATATATGTGCATACATATATGTGTATATATGCATATACATATAGATATGGAAACCTGTTTTAGAAATGCTTGTGCATGATTTGTGAGCTGGAAGTGGCAAGCACAGCTAAAACTCCAGCTCTTCCTGCTAAATTTTACTAATACAGAAATTAACATTTACACCTCTGGATACAATTTTAAAGTATATTTTATAATGGTCCTTAAATTAAAATTATTTAGTATTATATGCTATTTAATTAGAGAAATCTAAATACTTAGGGATGCCACTCCATTAGCAGAACTGAGGAAGAAAAATATGTATGCACAGATCTTTATGGATTAGCAGAACTCCAAGTGGTAGAAATATTTCATTTTCCCAATTTCAAATTAAATTAATAACATAAAAGAAAATCTCTAAGGCATTTGGTTTAATGCAAATTAACAAAGATTTGTAATCTGCTGTTTAATTTATTTGCTTTTTTTTTATTAAGGTAATAAGGAAAATATCTGGATGCATATTGATGCAGCCTATGCTGGAAGTGCATTCATCTGCCCTGAATTCAGGCATCTTTTAAATGGAGTGGAGGTGAGTGAAGTATTGCTTCTCTCACAACCTGAGAAAGCCGTGGTCTTGCATAGTAAGAGGTTTTTTGCATCTTATGCATATGCTTTTCTAAAATCTCTGAGCATGCTGCGCTTCTCTCCGAAATATATATATATCTTGTTACATTATCAGTATTGATATTTTTTCACCAGTTTATTCTGGCAGTATGCAAGTTACTACAATATGTAAGAATTTGTCACTCAGAATCCCAAATAGTCCAAAAAACACATTTCTAGCACCCCAATTCTACATGCCTGCCCACTTCCACCAAGTTCAACAAATTAATGACCTTATTATGCCTGATTGTTTCCATACGTCCTGAGAGACATATAGGGTACAGCTAGCAGTAGCTGTGCCTCCAGCAGATAGGGTTTAACGACCAAGAGATAGCTAAATGAAATATTCCCCCAACAGCACTCGTGTTCCTTTTTTTCCCTCCTCCCTGAGCTACTTGGCATTCAGTTCCTTAGATAAGAATGCTTCAATTTCCTGCTGTTCCCCTCAGACAGGCAGATAAGTCCTTGTCTTCCACGTCAATGGAGAAAATATTACTGTTTGGTAAAGCTAGAAGTTTAAACACAGCACTGATACGTAAAGACTAATAAAGAAGAGAGGAAACCCCTCCACCCCCAACAAATAAAGCGTTTCTTTCTGTCTTATTTTTTATCAGCAAATTAAGCTTGCTGCAATTTCCTGCATGGGAATATCTTTTTTATTATTATTATTACTGGTTACTGAAGGAAATGAAACAGCATCCCTTGTCTGGGCTTGCATGTGTCATTTGTGTCAATATTTAACCACCAAGAGTAAGTTCCCTACCTTACTTATTACAGGGAAATAGATGGATAGATGGATGGATACATTTTTGGATAAATATCTCTTCTCATGTGAGCAGTTGTAATTTTTTTCAAATGAAAGGGAAGGTGATGAGAAACAAATCTGAAAAGTGCTAAGTGGTTTTTCAGAGTCTCCCTTTTGTATTGGTAGTGCTCTTTGCCTTAAAGTCCTTCCCACACAATTTCCTTCTCATCTACCTGGGTTTCTTCCCATGTCATGCCTAAATAAGGTTTAAGTAAGGTTAGGCTGTTATTATTTAACATGTAACCATGTATTGTGAATGTTTATTCTGTGCTGGACTTGTCTAAAAATTAATTTATATTGGACTTCCATTAAAAAAAAACTTTGGTGGTTTTTAAAAAAAAGTCATTTAATGACTAGTCAAAATTTTATGGATGAATATGTGCACAGATTCAGAACTAATGTATCATTTGTCTCTACATGTAAATTTTGTAAGGGTGTAATTCTTGGTTAATACTAAAAATTTAGATAATACCAGAAGCTTATCTGCATACCAATATCCCCAATATCAAATGAAGATTTGACTACAGTAGATATTAAATAGGGTTACATCAGTGTAACATTATAAAGTCACATTAGAGAAACATATTCATAGTGGAAGTATACGAGGTCAATTTGACCAGATTATATCATAAGCACATGGATTCTTTTCTTTTTCATAATTCCTCTTTTTTTTCCTATTTATTTATCCATTCTCAGTTTGCAGATTCATTTAACTTTAATCCTCACAAATGGCTCCTAGTGAATTTTGACTGCTCTGCAATGTGGTAAGTATTACAGAAAAAGGAAACACTACAAAAGAGAAAAAAATGGTAAAATAGTAATGGTAAAATGGTAAAATAGTTTGCTTTTCTAACAGTAGACATCTTTTGCTTTAATGAAATTAGGAATTCAGGATATCTTTAACTTCTATACTATACGGCATTCACTTTCTCATTTAATACAAGTTAAAAATAAAAAAGGAATATACTTTTGATCCACAGGATCTCTTTTCAGGAGAAAGCTTGAAAGCCTGGGGATTATCTGCTCAATTTTGGGACCGTTTAAAAAATAAACAGGAAAAAAAAAAAAAAACTCTGTTGAAAGGGGTTCTGCAATGAACAGCATGCTAAATGGAGCTTCTCTTTCATAAAATTTCTCTGAGCTTGAGTCCTGATCCTTTCAAAAGTCTTTCTAAAAACATCCGGGATTTGGCTGATAAAAAGCAATTAAGTTCAAAAATGACTATTTATGCAATTTAGTACTGATTTTTCAGTGTCACCAGAGGATGGAAGAGACTGCATTATAAAATAGAAAGATGCCAAAGCAGAGATGAGTAGACGTACTTTGAAACAAAGCAAATTATCATCACAAAAAGAACAGCATTAACAGTGATGCTATTGGGTACCACACTGAAATTTCCTGAATTTAGTATGCTATCAAAGTCACAGTTAATAATGCTTACCAGTAAAACATCTTATCAGTAAATGCAGACTATTTATCCAAATAAAGGAAAGCATCAATTTCAGTTTTATTAAATAAATTTTCTGCAAAAGTAAAAAAGTCAAAAATTGAAAGTCAGAAAAAAACACCCTGAAAAATAATCCAATAAGATAATTCACCTTATTTATTAAAAAAAAATAAAGAAAAAAAGGAAAAAAAAAAAAAAGGAAAAACCTGAACTTGAAACAATGATTGCTCAGTTGCTTTAGGTTAATGTTTGGCTCCTTTAATATACCAACAAAGATGACTTTTGCACAGATGTGTGTATTATTTGGAAAATGCCTTTCCAAATGCACAAGTTTTCCCTGTATAATCACTTCAAATTCTCCAAGCCATAATGACAATTTTATTTTTATCAGAATAAATGGCTTACATTTTGATCCCGATTCATAAGGACTGGCAGTGATTAACCCAGGGCCCCAGTTTATACGTACTTCAAGACTTGTCATCTCTCTCTGTGGGAATAGGGAGAAGATGAAATTTCTTTGCTAGTTTCTGCCATCATGATCTCATATTTCAAAGAAATCAATATCAAAGTAGCCACTCAGAAATGAGAAAATTCTCTGTCATTCTTTTTAAAGTCTGTAGCACAATTAAGAGGCCAAGTATTTTCCCTATAAGTTTAACTTCTCATTAATTGTGCTTTCCCCTATTTAAATATTTTAGTATGGCTTACTCAGAAAACAAAATATATAAAATATTACTATCCATCTTTTTTTTTTTTGGTCTCAGGAGAATTCATCTTATTTCTAGCAGAGTGTAGATTCTATTATTAATTTCAAAGAAAGCTGGTAGAGGTTTTAATGGTTCTTAAGGTGGAAGGGAGAAAAGCCCAAGCTTCAATCTACTGAGGCAGAAATGTGTAGTTCTTTAGCCATTGTCTCTCTTTTTGAAGAAAAAAATTAAAAATGAGCTCAAATATTCAAAGGAGAATTTTTGATTCCATTAGATAAAACATCTCATAAAATAATATGTTTTCATAAGTACAAAGATTCCGTTACAAGGAATCTCAAGAGGTCTTGCAAAATATCTCCTCCTCAAAGCTAAAGCTTCATAACTACAGTGTTAACATTTCATTTTAGTAAGGCATTTATGCATAGGTTTAATTCACTTAATAAGGAATTAAATATACATTTAAAGTTAAGCTCTTTGGCTTGAATCCAAATCTATTGCCAAAAGAAATCCAACTACTCCCGAGGCCCAAGTCCAAAGTACACCTATTATCCACTGTAATCCACTGCACGAAAAGGCCAAATTCAGTAGAAATGTAATAATAAAGGTTGAAGGGGCCTTTTGAGAAAAAACAAATGAGAATAATGCGTAGTCCCCTTAGAATCCCTGTGAAGTATCAAACATAATTTTGTACTAGCAAGAAAGTGTTCAAGCAATAGTTTTTACCATTGCAAAAATGCACTGAGCTCCAACAAAGGACAGGCTTCTAAATCGCCCAGGCTCCTCAGTACTTTCTCCAATATTTAAACACCCTCATTTCTTTCCTGTGCAAGCTGATTAAGATAATCCAGCCATTAGATCTGTAATGTAATTATATAACTACTTAGTGCAATTTCTTGCACTGACGTCTTTTGGGATTTAAACCTTTTGCAAAATATTCTTCCTAATGTACTGGAAACAGTGGTCATCTTCAAAATAAAAAAAATGTTTAATATAGTCACCCGAGAGAGGTATTTCCATATTACAGTGTTGGGGTCCTTTAGAGACTCTGCCTTAAAACGTCGAGTCAGTTTTGTCCAATCTGTTTAATTGTCTGTTTGACTTACTATAAAAGAGCAAAAAGTGTTTCCAGAGAGAATGAAAATAATAATCTTGCAAAGTCTTGGTATTATTGCTTTTTTCTTGCTTTAAGGGTTTAATTTTTGGTTGGGAAGAGTTCATTTTGGTATTTTAAAAGAAGATGCTTACTGCATACTTTAAGGAATGCTCTTCTGCAGGTAGAAGTGAGATTTTATTGTTGGCCTAAAATACAAAGTCATCTCTTTGCTTATTGTTTTTGTCAGCTAAAATGGGCAAAATAGTGTGATGCTGTTAAAACCTGAAAATGTGCAATCCAAATAAGAAGTTGCTTTCACAGGTTTTCAGTGCTTTATTTACTAGGATTTCTATTGTGCATTTTGTATTATGAATATTTAACTTGTAAATCTAAGTTAGTGAAGCTAGATCCTAATAGGACCATCAATATAGCATCAAGTTTTTAAAGAATTCTGGTTTATCAGTGAAATTTTTGAAATACTTATTGAAGATCCTTCAGAGGAAGGATCCTTCAAAGAAACTTAACACCTCCTCTGTTCATTGCTGGACTACATAAGCACTTGCTGCAAAGAAGTTTAAAAAAAACATAGGATCAAATATAGACCTGACATACAGATGTGCAATGCAACTGGTTCATATACATTTATGTCCAGGTTTTGGATTTATTTTAGTAATCTGTTTAGATAGTTATTCATGGTTACGAGATTAAAATCTGTGAAGTCCCCAGGTGGAAAGAATGTCCTTAATAATAATAACATCACAATGATTAGTAATGTCATTTTAATAGCAACCAATACATCAACTCATATGGGAAATGCAGGATGACAACATTTTTATATCTTTTATAAAATTTGCCAACAACATAACTGATGTCTCAGCAGAACAGCTATATGCTATATTGTTTAGTACAGCATATTACAAGAGAAGGAATGAAACTCACAGTGCAACTAATGATATTGCACAGTACAACTAATGATTATTTCAGTATAATGATACTAAAACTTGTATTTCAGTAGCTCATCCCATAAACAATTAAGCTGAGTATGCCAAAGTAATAAATATATCAAGTAAAGAGAAGCTCATGGAACAACTTCAGGTTTATTCACAATATAAACCTTATTTAGAGCTGTTGGATAATGGTTTCTTCTTCCTGACAGTAGAAAAATTCTACAATTAAATAATTATTATTGTTTTCACTGTGAATATTGTGAAGGCCTATTACTACTTTTCATATGCATAAGCTTACTTATGCATTTAGGTACTTAAGCAGTTAGATAGTTTCCACGCCTGCAGGCAAGTAGTTTATGAACTTTGGTACTCTCCTGAATATTAAGGTAGAAGGATGGCTTTTTGTTTGCTTGAATGAGATGTTTAATGTTTATAGTTTAGAAGTGGAAGAATGTGCAGTTATATACTGGTCTGTGCATTTATATACACAGACTAAAATACCAGAAATTAAATTTTTATTTAGGATTTTACAATAAAAAAATAAAAAAGATATGCAGTAAATCAGAAAAGATTTGGATTTTGGTCGTTTAGAGTGATGTCCCCAAATTGACATAATTACTACTTCGTGAAATATATATATAGGCATAGTATAACGATGTAGCAGTCTTTATCTTTTTGATTTCTAATTTCTTCTTGTTCAGCATATATAGAAGACATCATTTGTAGAGGCGTGTCACTCTTACAGATAAAGTGAAGAATATGCCATCAAAATCTTGTTATTTGCTGGAAAAATCTAGTTTATTCTCTCTGTAAAGGGCACACTAGCTTTGGAAACTGAGTGCAGTGACACTGTGGCAATAGTAAGATATGCCTCAATTTTATGTTTGTGCTGTGGTTCGTCTTCCAACACAGTCAAGCCAGAGTGGCACGAAGGGAGATGCAAGAGGGAAACCTGCCTTGGGACAGGGTGGCTGCTGCCACCAGCCACAGCGCAGAGCGAGGGCAAGGCAGCATCCATGAAATCTCTCCTCAGCTTCGCATGGTGTCTTGAAAAGCCACAGCTGTTCCCACCTGCTTTCTACTTCAGTATTTGCAAAGCAACTTCTGTTCACTGCAGGCGTTGGTGTTGCTTTGGCTGGTCACATGCCCTGGTGTGTCTGTCACTGTAAGAAGGTTTCTGGGGCCTGCTTCCTGTCTGTTTAAACATGCAGCCACGTGCGGGCCCGTTGGCTGCTAAGCACTGAGCTTCCTACGTGTAGCTGCAGTGCTAGGACAGCTGTGAAAACACAGCGCCCTGAATATGGCACAGGCTGTGCCCAGGAGATGTGCCAGTGATGGCCTTGAATTTCTCTGTTTAAACACATTTAATTCTCCTTCACTTCTTGGGGAAATTTGATCCCTTAAATATGTACTGCTTAAATTTCTCAATTTATTTCCTTTTTTTTTTTTTTTGTCCATACAGGGTGAAAAAAAGATCGGATTTAACAGGTGCTTTTAAATTAGAACCTCTTTACCTGCAGCATCACCATCAAGAGTCTGGTAATTTTATGATTAAATAAGATAATCATTATTTTATTTGAATACTGATATTTAATAGAAAAAAATAGATTAAACATAAAAACTAAAATATTTTTAAAAACTACCTAAGTGATTTTGGAACCCATTTCCATTTCCAGAGTGCCTTAGAGAATTAACCTTATTAAAGTGCAGGCACGTCTGGTGAGATTTTTAGTTGATATCAAAAGCGATTAAGAGAAAGCCATTTTCAGAAGCATTAAAGTGATACTTTTGTTTTGGGATTTCCCCAGCTCCAGATTTAATGCTGGCTCTTTGCATGAGAATTGAGGAAATTTTTTTGAAAAGTCTTTTAGAAGTCAAATGCTGTGTGTGTGTCCCTCACTGCTTTCCCCAACATATCTTTCACTAGAATGGTTTCTTTCTCATTTTTTATCATTTAGCATTGTTTTTATCATTTCTGAAGCCTGTGACCTTTTTTTTCCCAGCTATGCAGGCTCTGATTCAAATTTTCAGTTGCACATCAGGAGCAAATGTTCCTTGAATCTGTATAGGAAGAGTGAGCTGTGTTTGATAAGTGTGCTCTATTTTGCATGCCAGCTCCTGGGAACACGATCCTGTTACTGTTCCTGTTGGGGCACTCTATCTTGTATTGACTGTAGCAACAGGCATACGTGCAACCTATCAATCTACATAGAACAGTATTCCTCAGAAAATGCTTACCAAGTGCTTAGAGATTTTAGGCCCTGCACAAAGTTTCTTCAAGAACCAGCATTGCTCCTGACACATACCTAGCAATCACAGAAGGTCGTCTGTCATCCTGAAGCCTCATTGTTTTTATACGTTTGCTTGATAACTGACTAAGTATGAAGTCACAGCAGTGCTGTGCCAACATGTGGCACAGGTTCATGCATAACAGTCGCAGAAGATGCATCTCCTCCAGGTGAATGTTCTTTTCATTTACCTTATGTCTTGTGTTTCCTGGAGTTGCTCGTCATCTGTGTTCAAAAGTATATCCCAAGTACTCTTCTGTTCTTTCTGTTATGCCCTCTAACTCCTTGATGTTTAAATTAATCCCACCCAGAGAATTTCAGCATTCACTAAAAAGTGGTAGGCATAATGGAACCCTGTGCCTTAATCCTGAACTGGCAGAAACTTCTCTTTTTATTCCTTTTCCGCATTTCCAAGCAATGCAATTAGAACAATAAATGATAAAATGCACTCACTCTGGAGCTGAGCTTTACCATCCAAAGGTTAGAATTGCTAAGAAAAAACATGTGCCTGTTTGTTTGCCATTTTTAAATGAAAAATACAAATTATAGTAACTACTTTTGAATCACTGAGTCTTACTTACCATACGTAGTAGATGTTCCTCTTGAGGGGAAAAACATCCAACTGTAGTTGAATGAAATTATGTTCTTGTGACAATTGAGAGTGCTGATACAAGAACCTTAGGTCTTCCTCCGGTAAATAACACTCAAAGAAAATAAAACGTTCCTTGATATTAGCTTATTTCAGTGAGGCCACTTACTTGACCTGAGAGTTTTCCCTCCCCAGTTGGATAAGGAATTGTTCAGTCTTTGTCTTGCCTTCACTGGCGGTGATAGTATGTTATGTGATCTGGACATAATGATCCCATACAGGTCAGCAGATTATTAGTCTAGAGACACTAGGTTTTTCTCTGCCCTCTTCCCATTTGCTAGCAATTTTCCAAAGAGATGGACAAGACTTTTTCAAATGCAAATGTCTTTAGTTGAACTGCTAAATCCAATCCACACTTATGCCTTCAGTAAAAATGGCCAGATTTGCAAAGGTGCTAGGCTGTTACAGTCCCTATTGATCTCGGTGTGATTTATGGGATGTCAGCACTCCTGGAAATCAGACTTGTCTGATGGAGGGTCTTAGTTTCTTAACTGAGTATGTCTCAGGTCGGAGAATTCCCACCATGGTTTACAAGGCAAATGAAGTGGCATTTTTGAACTCACTCATCTCTCACTCAAGAATTTAAATGAGCGGAAAAATATATCTATCTGTGAGCAATTACTCTTAATAACATATGGCAATTATGTGTGCCCCCAAGGGGAAAATCTTTATTTTGTCATTAATTATAATTTTGTGTGATTTGCATCATCACACCAGGAAGATTATACTAGCTTGCCTGGCAACCCTGGATATAGGTCAGATCCTAATGGCACTGTTAGAAGAATGCTGCTTTATAGTCTATTGTGAATGCCACATACGCTCCCACAATTCAGTTCCTCCTGGTTAAATACAGATGTAAGAATAAAGCTTGCAATCAAGGACTAATCACTGATTGCATTCTGCTTCACAGCTTGTGAAAGGCGGTGTTGTGGATCATTAGACGTAGCCCGTTACACGAGCGTAGGATTATTTATCTATCACCAGTTGCTTCACTCTTTGCTACTAGTCTTTCAGCTATCAGAAAAATGGCTGCTGCGGTGCAGAACAACATGAATGTTACCAAATTTCCTTGATACTCAGCTAAAACAACAGCGGTCATCTACTGAAGCCCAGGAACATGTTAATGATTGTTTGGGACTTTTTTCCCCCCTAGTGAATATCTAAGGAACCAATTAGTGAACCAAATCAGTATATATTGCAGGAGGAAGGAAGGATCATGTGTTCTCTTGTTTTTTTTCACTGTGTACATGAGGGAGTGCTGGCGAAAGAACTCGGAGCACTGAAAATACTGCTGTTATCTTTCCCTGGAAAATATGAGGCCTGGGAATAACATAAATTACATACACTCGTCAAATTCATAAGCTACAGTTCCATGTAGTAACTTGTGATACTAATTCCAGGAGTACTCAGATGGCATTTTCTCTTGAAACTTAAGCACCTATTTTCTAATGAAACTTCTACTCCACTGCAGAAAAATAAAACAGGATAATAAAGCTAAGCAGATTCCCCCCAAAATGCTTTAGATTAAGTCCATTCTAATTTCCGGCACTGTCTTACTGCAGGTAATTCAATGTTACATTATAGTTTCCTTTACTGTACAGTGGGTTTAATTGGCTGATTTGAAGCAAAGGTAGACATGTTTCGATCCTGCATGCTGTTATAAAAGACAACTGAAATGCCTTCTTCCTGCCAGCCTGGATTGCTCTGTAGCTTGGTTAATCAGCATTTGTAGGGCACTTGGACTGCATCAAATGAAAAGCCATAAAAATGCAAAATACTATTTTTCAAATGCAAGAAGAGGCCAGGTCTCAGTTAAATTTCCTCGTCACTTACTGGACATACTGAAAAATTGGCAGCAAATGCATGAGTGAGTAAATAAAGAGGCCAAAAGTATGTTCTTTTTAAAAAAGTTATCAGCTCCCCAGGGGTGCAGAGGGTGACAATTTCACAGCAGAGAGTGAGTGATGAATGAGTTTGAGAATTCTACAGACTGTTTCAAATAAAGTTAATAAAAACTGTTTCATCCACTATTCATTTTCTATGTAAGAGAAACACAGGATTTAGTCTGAAATATAGTTGGGAATAAAAATTGCATTTTTTTTCTTGAAAACTTAGTTTGTTATTGCTATATTCTCACCAGCTGACCTTAAGCACCCTACCTTAGTATGCTGCTAAATATTCTACGAAATATTTACTGGTCCTGTGAGCACTGGGGATACTGAAGTTTGCAGCAAACATGCAAGATCACTAGGGGTAGCTTTCCACTGCAGTTTGAATGATTGCACATTTTGCCTCTTAAAATGAAGAAATGTGAACATTTTTTTCTTTAACTTTCAGGCCTTGTAACAGATTACCGGGTAAGTACATCACAGAAATAATTACTATTACTGTTTTGCATGCATTGATATTTCCAGGGCTATAATTTTCTTTTTCATTATTCTCATAACCTCCAATCCTTAGCTTTATGTCCAGGAAGGAGGCTCAGGTAGCTAAGTTCTTGGCATTCGAACCCTCTTTGTCTGAAAAAAAAAAAATGGATAGGTGACAGCTCAAGATTTAGGCAACATAAATAAATTTCTTAAAGATTATCTCACACCTGTGAACAAATTAATGTTTGTGAACTGCTAAGACATTATTTTCTTCTAAAGTCTTAAAGGAAAATTTGGTGTTCCCAAAGATTTGTTTTTTTTTGCCTTCCATTCTGACACTAGCCCTCTCTTCCGCTTTTCTTTGGAAAATGTTGAGTATTAACAGTCATGCTGGGGCACTGGCCAGAAACAGATGTTTCTGGTGGTATCTGGCCCACCTCCAGCAGACACCTGTAGGATGAGGAAATGTGGTAGGTTTCAAAGACATCGCACAACGTGCAATGTCTGGGGTATCACTGCAAGGGTGGCTTCTAATGCAGGTGTCCTTCCTTCTTGGCTTGCAGCACTGGCAAATCCCCCTGGGAAGGAGGTTCCGCTCCCTGAAGCTCTGGTTCGTGCTGAGGATGTACGGGGTGACGGGGCTGCAGGAGCACATCCGCAAGGTGACCCCAGCTCGTTTCTCGCATAGTTTGCAGTGGGATGGAAAGGAAAGCGAGTTAATACCTGCTCAGGTTCCTCGGCTTCTGTACCCACAGACAGCACAGACTACACTTTTGGTCAGCCCTGTTCAACAGGAGTGCTATTCATCGGCCTCCTGCAGTGTCACAGCTTCGCGTTGTGGCAGGATCCAAACCATCAGCTATTTCTGTTAATCTTTGGGGAAGAAAAAAATCTAGGAACTTGGAATTTATGCAATGTGGGACCACATTTCCCTCTCAATTTAAGCTAAAATACATTAGTGGTTTTACCCGGGAATAAATGGAAACATCCATTATCTCTTGATTTACTAAGGGGCATATGTTGATAGTATGCCTAGATGATTCTTAAGGTTGCTGGGCTGTATTTTGTGATAGAATAACAGACTGATGACTTATGCTTTTCCTTTAAGTGATAATTTATGTTTTATTTTCTCTTTCCCATTCAAAACAGACTTTTTTTTTAAGGACGTGCTCAATTTACAGTTTGTTAGCATTTCTATGAATATGTACTAAGTTTATTGAGGTGAATAGATGTGTGATAAAATAACACATTAGCTGCTAATTCACTGGAAATTTAAGGAAATTTATCTGGTGTTTATATACCTTTAATCAGGCTTCCTTTGCATAGCCAGGTTTTACTTGTGAAGTGGCTGACATTTTCAGTCATGAGGAGATTCTGACCTGTAAAGAGAAAAAACACTGAATACACTTGAAAAGCCCCCATATTTGCTGTGCAATGAGCAGGATTCTCTGCAGAAAAACAAAGATATCTGCAACTACCTGTTCACAATAGTTTCTTTTTGTTTGTTTGTTTTAAAATGCCACAAAAATATTATTTTCTTCTTTTTTTTTCTTCTCATAATATGTTTTAAGAAAAAAAAAATTGTTATGTCTATAGCAATCTGTATCAAAATGACTGGATGACCCCTGCAGACTGGCATTTATATTTACTGAGAAAGGTATTTAGGGACTAAAATATTCTTGGGGGATGCCTTTTATTTAGATACAGTAATTTTTTGTTTTTGAAACCTTCCAGTGGTAAAGGGAAGGGCAGTCATATCTCAAGCAGGGGGCGAGAGGAAAATATAAATATTGGAGGTAAATTCCAAAGAGATGGACGAGATGTACAAAGAGGGCGAGAACTGGCTTGTGGGCAAACAAGCAGGGGCACTATCAGTGCGAAACCTCAAGTGTACATGACCCATCTGTAAGCAGCCTGTGGAAATGGCCTACATATTATCCTTGTGCCATTGTAAGTCAAATGAGAGCACTCAGAAGTCATTTGAGAAATTCAGAACTTTTGGGGTGTGATCCCAGGAGCATTTCGATTCAGAGGAAACCTCTGTAGTTTCAGAAGAAATCAGTGCATCACATTCTTCTTTTCTCACCAAGGATAATGAATTTCATTAAAAAAATAACAACAGAGGTCAAGAGAGTGGAACTGTGCAGAGCAGCAATGCGAGGGATGGTATTTCAGTGGATGTTGGCCTAGTCCAAATAGCTGTTGAGAAAAGACTGTTTGGGCTGCACTTTGATTCAGACTGAGGTGTGAGCTAAAGCTGGCAGAGGGGTAGCATCTATAGAAAGAAAAATATCAGGTGATCAAGGCTAGGCAGTATGTGTACATGTATATATGTGTTAGTTTACTCTGAGACTTTGGAGAAATTCCGATCAAAGACTCCTTTAGTCCTTTAAGGATTTGCCCCACAACCAATACTCATTTGAAGCGTTTCTATGCAGGAGCCCATATATACATACACAGGTGTGTGTGTACGTGTGTACGCATGTATTTATATATATACGAACTTTATATATGGACCTATTTTTAATGCCTCACAAGTTTACTGCTCCCTTTAGTGATTATGTAAGAACTTCCCTTAATCTGAAATAATCACATGAATTAGAGCCTCTTTTTTTCCCTCTCCTCACCACAAAAAGACTCTGGTTATTTCCCTGAGTCAACAATACTCAAAATTCCTTTTAAGCTCCTTTCCTCCCATCAGCCAAACTTCCCTCAGAGAAGAGCTGCCACCCAGTTCCCGCTTCCTAAGGTCCTGCAGGCCTGTAGTATTCCTGGGTCAGGCTGCTTTGAGCACATACAGCAGAAAGCTCGGGACAGCTGGTTGTCTTTGACCTATCCCCCCTTCCTCTCCTTCGTTTGTGTGTCCCTGATTCTGCAAACACCTGTATGACTCAAAAGGCTGAAGGATGAAAACTGCACATGCCCTGCATGAGTTGGTACTGCTCTTTGGGCCGCAGATGGGTAGGCGCGCTACCAAACAGCCCTTCAGTTTTATCCAGTTGGAAACTCCAGGCTTAATGATGTTTAACTTTATTGAGTTTACTTCAGTGGGGCTGGCAAGGCTGCAGCCATCCTCGCAGTGCAAAGGCGCAGCAGCGCCTGGGTAACTGCTCAGCAAAGCCAAACGGGTGAAACCTCCCTTAGTCTCTACTTTTATCCACGGTCCGGTTTTGTAAAACCTAAGGCATTTGGTGCCCTCCAGTGGTTTGACAAATTATTCGTACTTACAAAAGCTTACTATGGATAAAATTACTTGCGCTTATAAATGAATAGTTGATACTTCCAGCATTTTTGCTGCATTTGGGTTTTAAGGAGTATTCTCTATTTTCCTTGCTTTCCTTTCTCAGGAAGTCCTGAGAAATTCATTAGTAAAAAAAAATGCATGTACCAATGCCTTCTAAGAAAGGTACAGCGAGAACTTAGAGTTTCTTTGTACAAACTACTCACAATGAGACAATTTTTTTTGCTGTTTGCTTTTACTCAGTTTTTACTGCAGCAAACTTAGATTGAGTTCAAATGGTAATTAAATTCATTCATGCAGTTTGGAAAATTCTGCTCTCACTCAACGTGAAACTTTTTATGATCGTGATTTCTAAGACGTGGTAACATGATCTGTGAAATTCTGCATGGCTGCCTATGTAAGACATAAATTTGGTTAATGCTGTAGAACATAAGGATAGCAGAGGATAGTAAAAGATTGTTACAGCGTGTATGTATATATATATTTTATGTGCACTTATCTGTATAAGTTTATGAGCCTATACATATAATTCTGGTCAGTTTTCATGGTTGTAAACTTATGCTATTTTTATTAGCATAATATACAAATGCCTTGGGAGGGATTGGGTGTTCTATTGATCTTATTTCTGACTGAGAGACGCTTCAGCCTAATTTAAGAGAGAGAAGATAGAAGAATATAGCAAACAGCAGAAAGGAAGTGATAACAAGAGTGGCTGGTTCCATAGGCTGTCAACATGTCTGACCTGAAAGTTTTTAAATCAATGTTTTGATTCAGTATAAACATTTTTTGTGTTTTAAGAAATAAGAAAATGTCAGAAAACTAAAATTAAGACAGCAAAATGTTTTGTTTTGTTTTCCTGTAATTTCTGTTTTTGCTTGTTCTTGCTTTTTTTGGGGGGGAAAAAAAAAAAGGTGATGAGATGAAACAGTCCACATTTAGCCTTGGCCCAAAAAAAAGTTTTTATTTTGGCTCAATTATTTTTCCTTGAATTTTTGGAAATGGAGAGCAGAGGTTTGATGTCCATTTCATTGATCAGACCACTATTTTTTTTCCCTTTTCAACTGACCCCGAGCACCCCTCAGACAAGTCAGCAAGTTCACCCTTCTTCAGTTATATTATCACTTCTACTAAAAAAGCATACTGTAATGCTTTTCTAGCTTGTTTTCTACTTGAATTTTGATCACTGTATGTCTGTTCACTTCTCCCTTCCTCCCCATAGTAACATTTGGACTTTTTAGCCAGTCTGAGGCAAAACTGCGAGTGGTAGAAGACCTAAATAGCAATTATTAATATTATTTACTATTAATATGGCAGCATGCAGATATGAAACTGCACCTGAACAATTCCTTAAGAAACAGAGCAGTACTGCCTAGGGTAGACTGAGCATCTAATACAGTAACTGCTCAGTTGTCTCTGAAAGTCATGAACGGATGCGAGTTAGCATGAGCAGATGGCTATATGTGAATGCTGACACATAGCAGAAGGGAGAAAAGAGATTAGGAATGGAAGCCATTTAGCAACATTTTTGCCCTGATGAATTAAATTTATACAATATAGATACTCTTGTTGTCTTCCCAGCATGTCAGGCTGTCACATCAATTTGAACACTTAGTTCTTCAGGATGAGCGATTTGAGGTCTGTGCTGAGGTCATCCTGGGACTCGTCTGTTTCCGGCTAAAGGTAAGGCAACAAAGGCTTCCTCTTTCTTCTGCCATGGTGCTCAGCAAAACAGAATATAGGGCTGATAGCTAATAAATTTCCTATCTATTTTTTAAAGACAGTAGGGGAGGCTCACATAGATCAAAGCAGATCAAAGAAGGAAGCTTAAGACAAAGTTTCTTAAAATTTAAATGCTTAAGAGAAATTCAAGCATATTATGATATGGAAATGTATAAGCAAGACTCACAGATAGTCTTAGCTCTACCCAAGAATCATGCAAAATGACTGCTACATTGCAGTCTTCTTCATTTATTTTTAATTCAGAATTGATTGGTAAAATTGATTTTGATTGGTAATTCAATTGGTGCTTTCATTAATAAGCAGTAGTAGCTGTATTAACAGGAAAAGTACTTTTTTGAGAAAAAGAGGACTTAAGGAAATCATGAGAAATGTTATATTTGTTCCTGTCTGAAGTATCAATGTCAAATCTTTCATTTTAATTTTTAGGGCCATATTGATCAGTATGCTTTGGGTACAGTTGGAGTAGATGGGACTGTTCAACTGAAATTAATAGTGGTTCTCTGTTAAACCCATTCATAGTGCTCAGAATGAATCTGATTGTTAACTTGTAGATGCCTTACAGATTTACTTATTGAGAAGAATGAGTAACCTACAAAATCCTTTTATATTTACGGTATGCATGTGTCTGTATATATGCATATACACACACTGTATATATTAGATGTTTCTGGTCATGTTACTTTTGTATGTATGTATATAATATACAGTTTATATATGTAAAAAAAATGATCAGGAACATGCAATATGTGGAAGTAGACCACATCTATCATATATTAAGTTTAAAGTCGTAGTTTGTTGTTGTTCTTCTCTTTAAAGAAAACATTTTAAATTATAAAATCCTAGAGTAAATTGGGCAAATTGAAACAGGTAAGAACAGGTTGCATGACAGCCTGGGCTCCCAGTTGCCTTTGGTACTGGTCTTCAGTTTGATTGTTTATTTGCCAAGTGTGATCCTTTTGACCTTCCATTCCCCCAAATTTCTGTATGTACCTACTCCATTAATGCAGAGACCTTGCCTACGCACTCAGAGCATAGGAGCTGCTGGGAGGGTTCACTTGTTTAATTGAACATTGAAAGGTGAGGAATTTCTTCTTTTATGCAAAGGACTCATTTAATAGAGGAGCTGGCAACTAATGCTTCTGTGAAGAGCTGGACTGCAGCACCGCATCTGAACAATAATAAAAACAGCACTGCTGTTTCCAAGTTCACCTGATAGCTAAATGAGTTTTTTATCTTTTCTGAATGTTCACAAGCATGTCTCAGTGCCCTCTGGGTTATGTGGTATTACTTTTCACAGAATCTTTGCTCCGTTGTTCAGTTGCCCCAGTTAATGAGTTTGGTGCGCTCTAATGAATCATTGACAATGAGGGTTACAGTAAATGGTAAACTCAGCTGGGATAAGAACATGGTTTCACCTGCATTTTGATGTTTATTAAAAACATTATGTGTATATTAAAAAAAAAAAGTGATCTGCTGGTAGAGGGACAGTGGGTTACATACTGTGGAGTTCTTTCAATAAGTGGAAACCTGAAAATAATTTCTTTCCTAACAAGAACTTTTTGAAGATTTGAGGCATATGTTCTGTGGCCCTTATTGCTCAGTAACAAGATGCTGCTCTCTCACGTGGAACAAGCAAACAGTGAGTTCTGCAGATCCAGAGACAGCTGTTAGTCATGCTGTACATTTACTTTAAAAGAACAGTCCTGGTGAAGTAGAGCATAGCAACATAGGAATTGTCACATTTGATCAGACCAGTGATTCATCTACAGATGGCACCTGTCCCTGATGCTCCAGAGAAAGAAATAAGATCGGCAGGGAGAGAAAATTATACACCAGTAGGTAAATGCTGAATACCTAGCTAAGAAACTTTTGAAAAAAAGTTATGGTAAAAAGGTGGGATTCTTCTGAAAATCAGGGCTGAAACAGTGTTGTGTTTATATCACTTGCCCTCCCTGCCCAAAAATGGAAAACAAAACTAACAGATTTTAAAATTAATAGTTGTTTATGATTGTTTTTACAACTCTATTTCTTTTTTAAACATCTTCCTGTGTTTTCTATAATTCATATTAAAATATACCTTAGAAGTAGGATGCTTGTAATTTTTAAATAGTTTTGTAAGTTATATATTATATAGATGTATTGCTTATATATTTTATAGAAGTTACATATACACAAGGACAGCGGACTTGAACTGCAATGCCATACAAAATGTAGCAATAGTTTTCCTTCATTTGATTGAGAAGAAAAAGGATTGAGAAATCCCTTCTTTTCCTTTTTTTTATACTTAACTGTAACTTTGAATTCTTTGGCTTTCACACTGTTGAACAGACTAATAATCTCCGATTTCCATGATATCTTTCTCATCATATGCCAAGGAAAGAATCTGATATCATGCCAAAGGGTTAACTCCTGGCTTCCCTGCCATGTCTGCACAGGAGCACAAGCCAAGCTAGTCATTTCTCCAAGGGGATGAGAATACTGTCGTATTAAAGCTGACAGACTTAATCAGAGGTGGCTTCCAGCTTCCCAAAGCTCTGGGAGAGAATTGGTCACTACTAACATCAATGTGATGTGACACCTGAGTGTCGCAGAAGTCCCTAGATGCAGCTGTGAGAGAGGGACTGAAGATACAGGAACCGTCCTCCATTCGCTGCTCACCCCTGCTAAAGACACTAACTTAACATCATCATATAACTGCTTGATTGCCTACATGGCAGTGTCCTGCCTTTAATATGTAAAGCCAAGGATCATTGATTTACTAATGGTTTACCTTTGGTAAGAAAGCAATCTATTATTGTTATGAGAGGTTATCAAGGAAAAAAATGTAAACCACCAAGGTTAGTCTTTTATTTTTAGATTGGAGCATGCATGATACTCTCACAAAAGTTGCAAGAATATACCTTGCTATATATATTGCTCTATATGAGACAGCAAGAATATATTCTGCTAACTCAGACCCTCATCCAAATTCCCTAAAAATTCATGCTATGCCAGAAGCAATGATTTGACTTGGGATCGTCTCTAGTTGGAATATGATCCACAAATGAGGGCAGAATACATTTCTCCTCTGTGCCAAGGGGAAAATTTCCCTTAGGCTCTCTTTTCATATGGAAGAGGCTAAGCAAGCAGGCCACAGCTATGTAGATTTGGCAAACCACGTACTCTGATGGGCAGGTTTTCCAGAAGACCTATGGCCACTACAGTAAGAAGACAGATGCCGGACACATTGCAGAAAGGTTTGTTCATTTTCAGGGCTCACTAAGGGAACATCAGAGCTCTCAGGCTCTCTTGCAGCCCCGTGTCACCAGCAAGATAACAGAAATGGGTGAAGGGTAAAATTATAGCACTCAGGACTAACACAGTATATCCAGGCTATTATGGCAAAATGCCCAGAAAAGCTGAAGCCATCTTTCAGACTGCTGAGACAAAAATTAGACAGGAAGGTTCCTCTCATTTGGGTAACAAAGACTAAGATAGGCAGTTTGGATGATATCCTGCACTGCTAAATCAGACAAAAATCCCAAGACACTGTAGCCTTTCGAGTCAGGTTTTCATTTAAAACAATTGACTTGATTTTGGAAGCCTAATGACATCTATAGTTTTATTCTGAAATGCTGATACACATAAAATGGGAAAGCCACTACATTCAACATTAGCTGAATCGGCAGTAGAATTGGTACTCCCCTGTGAAGTCCTGTTTCTATTAGAATTTTGTATTGAAAGTATACAGTTCCTCTAAAGGAAATCCTCACAGTTCGTATTTGAGCACAGAGAGACCTGACTATGTTGGAAGGGGACAGAATTTAACCATGCATGTGCGCATGTTGAGTCACGGGCACCTTCTGCAAGATACATTTCTACCTTTTTCTTTTGCTGAATGTAGGAGAAAAGCATGATGTTTGTTTGCAGTGGGAGGGTCCCTTTACCACATTTCTAGAATCCCAAAGAAAAGACTCTCTGTGACTCTGGAGTAGTCTCTGTTGGGTCTTCCTATAGAACTTGAGGCAAATACTTCTTTAGGGTATTTACTGATAGGCTGCAGCAGATTTAAGCTTTGATTTTACTGACGTTATGCCAGGATACATTACTTTTTCTTTACTAAGAGTAAGATTTTCAAATTCATAGTCAAAAGACTCTCTAATAGGAGCTTTGCTTAAGTGAGAACTGAAGATTTGCTTTACGAAGGTTAATATAGCTCACTGAAAAACTGTCTCCCATGTGTGTTTGATTAGGTCTGAGAAAAGTGTAATGAAATGGATACAGTAATTAATGCTTTTAAATAAAGCAAACATAGCTCATGTCCTTAGGTCACGAAAAAAGGTTTCAGTACCACAAAGACCTCAGCGTGAACACTGCTTTTAAAGCACGGTTAACCCGTAAGTCTCATTGTGGCTGAAAAAAAATGATCTTTTGAGTCATCATCTTATAATCCTGTGGTGGTAAAGCACTGGGAGACTTGAGCTGTGAGAGGAGAATGTGGCTGCTTTGGCTTGGCTGCTTGGTGGGATTTTGCCTGTTCCAGAGGAGCTTCTGAAATTCACCACTCCGTCTGTTGAATTACAATTGTTCCAGGGCTCAAATGAACTAAATAAGGCACTTCTAAAAAGCATAAATGATGCCAAGAAGATTCATCTGGTCCCATGCCACCTGCGAGAAAAGTTTGTGCTGCGCTTTGCTGTTTGTTCCCGCACGGTAGAATCCGCCCACGTCCAGTTCGCCTGGCAGCACATCTCACAGCTGGCAACGGAGCTCCTGGAAACGCGGGCGCCGCTGCAACAGCAGCAGCAGTGCTGAAGCAGCAGTGGGTAGGAGGTGATTAACTGGCTTGCTCTGTGTCACCAGGTTTTGTTTTAGGGGCAGGTGGGAAAGTCAAATTATGCTAGGAGAAAATCCGTAAGTGTTGTCATATAGCCCAGATGTATTTGCAAAATCATTGCCAGCAGGTTGTGTTGTGACCTTTGCCATCACTCTCTGTACTGTGATCACCCTGGCTGCTCTGGGGACGGACGTAGCTGCGGGTGCTCGAGCGGTGGTTCCCTTCCCCTTGGTAATCACGAGCCTTTACTGAGGCGGCACACAGTCCCCATTAACCCCTGGCACATCTGCCCCTTCTTCCCAGATGAAACCATGAGGAGATATAACTAACTGATAAACACCAGGATGACCTCAGAAAATTCAGATTATAGGAAGTTCGGTAGCATGGTCGTAGCACTGCTTGGGTCCTGGCTAAACTGGCGAGCACAAATGCTGTAGCAGCTTGGGGCACTGTCACGTCAGGACATGCTTGCTGCAGTAATTTTGCAAAAGAAGTTAGGGCCTTGAGGACTTCTCTCCTTAGAAATGAAGGGTGCGTGAGCATTGCATGGGAGCCAGCAGCCCTCATGGCAGGCTCACTGCTCCCCCATAAAGGGTTTGCTTTTAAAGATGCCCATTTTCTCAAATCTCAGCAAATGGTCTATACTGCCTACGGATTTTCACTCTGAGCGTTCATAACAGTGCCTCTTACAGGCTCCCTGCTAGGATTTTTTTGTCAAAATCGATGTGTTGACTGATCTTCTCTAATATTAATCAAGTTATTATAAGCAGTAGTTAACTTGAAAAATATCTTTTGAAGAATCTGTGATTTTTGTGGCTACCATTGTATTTATTTCATTGTGTGCATACACAGAGAAATGTGATTGCAAAAATGATGCTTTTGGTTTCTCAAATTAGCTAAAAAGTGAAGAACAGACCCCTAAAATACACTTTGGCACTCCCATCGGTGTTTCTGTTCCATCAATAATTAAGTCTGAAATATAACATAAATGTAATGAAAAATAAAAAGTCTTCAGAAAGTCAAGTAATACGCAGTGAACACACCACT